TGCAAGGATCTTGTTGAGAATTTTTGCATCCGTATTCATCAAGGATATTGGCCTATAGTTCTCTTTTTTTGTTGGATCTCTGTCTGGCTTGGGAATCAGAGTGATGCTGGCTTCATAAAATGAGTCCGGGAGTTTTCCTTCGACTTCTATTTTTTGGAATAGCTTGAGAAGAATTGGGATTAATTCTGTTTTAAATGTCTGGTAGAATTCCCCAGGGAAACCATCAGGTCCAGGGCAGGGCGCTCCATTTCTTGCCATGGATGGACCTATATCTACCCATTACAACTACCCACAGTCCACAGTTCACATTATGCACTCTACCTGTTTTTAACTGAGGCAGACTTTTCAGACTCTTCATTTGTAGTTTACCCTTACTACATCTTATTGATCAACTGTAACCTTAAAGTTTATCACTGCTTGTGCTTAATTTTGGTGTGTGTTTGTGTGTGTGTTTGTGTGTGTGTGTGTGTGTGAGAGAGAGAGAGAGAGAGAGAGAGAGAGAGCTGTGTCCCCTAGTATTTACACGTTCCTTGAAAGCAGAAATTATATGTTCCACCCTCTGACTCTACCTCTGGTGTTGCTACATCAGGCCTCATACCCACAGGTTACTTAAATTAGCTATAAACTGAGAAAGATCTCATTTCATAGAAGAAAGAGCTGAAGACTTGAAGGGCAACATCTTTATGATGTGTTAGTTAGAAGCTGGACCTCAAATTTTGAACTCCTGTCTCACAGTCCAATTATGGCACCTCTGCAAGAGTTCTCCTCTATTAATGAGCTCGAGTGGTAGCTGTTTTCTCTGTGAAATAACCTAGAAAACTATAAAATTATATTATTGTGAGGCTTTAAGTATGTAAAGTAAACATTTCTCTTGAAGTTACTTCAAGGAAATGTCTTCACTATACCTCGTGATTAGAGATGTAAGAAATGATTAAAGGCAATATCTCTTAATGATCCAATAGCATTGCAAAAATAATCTATTAAGTTTCTCTTGTCAGGGTAACTTGATTTTTTTTCCTACAATATAGTTAGGATTCTTTTCCTGACTTCATGAGCATTATGGTGATAATGATAATAATGGCACTACCATATTGTGTGCTTTAGAGCTTTATGCATTTACCAGCACGTTTTGGTCATTTTCACACTGATCTTTACCATACTCTGAAACACAGAATATATACTATTAAGGTCAAATGACAACTCCAGTTCCTTTTTAATGTAATTTGGTTGCCTTCTGGGAAATTCTGTTAGTGGGTAACTATTAGAAATTTCAGTGGGTGCTGGGTTAGAAGGATGTGTTAATCTTATTCCAGATTTTAAGAGGTTGGTTATATAGTATGGAATAAGAAGCCCAATTGTAATGAGAGATAACTTCAGACTGAAGATAGGGTGAATTTATGGAAAATGCAGCTTTGAAAATCTAAAATCTGAACATCTAAATATGGCAGAAATGTGCCCTGAGGTCAAGAGGGCTGAGAACACAGAATCCCCTGTTGCTCACTCCTTTTTTGTTGCTACTTTACCCAGGGTAGTTCAAGAAATACAATTTCTACACAGTTATTATGGAAGATCTTACATTTTCACTCGGTCTTACAGAGAAGCTACTGTTTCTTCCCCTGGAAGATTAATTCACAATACTGGTTATAGTTTCTTTTTTTTTTTTTTAAACATTTTTATTTATTATTGAGAGACAGAGAGGGACAGAGCGTGACCATGGGAGGGGCAGAGACAGAATCTGAAGGAGGCTCCAGGCTCCGAGCCGTCAGCACAGAGCCTGACATAGGTCTCGGACTCACAAACCGTGAGATCATGACCTGAGCCGAAGTCGGACACTTAACCGACTGAGCTACCCAGGCACCCTGGTTATAGTTTCTTTAAAACAGAGGCCTGACCCTCAGAGGTAACAACATAGAATCAAATACTTTATAAGACTTGACAAGGCAGCATAAAATAGGGAACGTACAATCCCATGTCATTTCTTTTATGAAACACAGCGTTTTCATAAAAGGTGTGGAAAGGGGTGTGGAAAGCTCATAAGTCCCTATTTCTGCCCTATCCTTACTCATTGTACTTTACTCCTCCATTTACTGCTGACGGTTGAAGTTACCAGACTACTATGAAAAGCCCTTTTCATCATCTAAAGTGACTAGACCTGATTTTTGCCTTTCTTTTATTTATTTAATGTTTTATTTATTTCTGAGAGAGAAAGAGACTGCGTGAACAGGGGAGGGTCAGAGAGAGAGGGAGATACAGAATCTGAAACAGGCTCCAGACTCTGAGCTGTCAGCAAAGGGCCTGACATGGGGCTTGAACCCATGAACTGTGAGATCACGACCTGAGCCGAAGTCGGATGCTTAGTGGACTGAGCCACCCAGGTGCCCCAGTTTTTGCCTTTGAAAACAGGGTGTTTGTGAGCACCAGCAAAACTCTTACCTCTGGACCTGAAGATCTACCTGGTTATTCACTGTCTTCAGACTCATTCGCCAAGGTTTCAGTGCGTGTGCACTGGTGGGGAGGAGGAGTGCACATCTCTGTGGATTGGTTGATTGAGTCATTTGTCCGCAAATGACTTTCCATATTAGTGTTCTGAAATCTGAAGTGGAAATATTTTCTTTGCTGAAGACTCTGGAGGTTTGTGATTATGGCAACAATTTTTTTATTCTTTGTTCTTCCATTACTTTCTATTACTCTGCTAATCCCAATTTTCCGTGCTGGTGATTCAGGGAGAAATCTGGTTCTTTTATGGAAATGACATAGGCTTCCTACCAAATACCCGGAAAAGAGTGAAATCGTCTGCTTGTTATTTTTCTCAAGGGTATAATAGCATGATAAAAACTTTGGCATTTCAGCTGCAAAATTTCATTTAGAAAATGTGATTCCCTAAACCAAGCTAATCCAATCTTGACATTATCTGAAGAATGAGTGTTTTAGGCTGTGCTGTTTAGGAAAAATGTTTCCGCTGGGTCTATTTATTGTACTTCATTGACTTTCTGTCTTGCCAAGTCATTTGGAATCTAACTATCTAGGAGATGATTCTCTTCACTAAAGAAAAAAATATGTATCATATCACATTCTACTTCTCATAACAGTTGATTTGCTTACAATTAGCAAAAGTAAGCTGAAGATTTAAATGGGCACTAAAGCTACAATATTAACAATTTCCTTATCGAGCAAAGGTAGAAAGAAAACAAAATTTAGACTACTATTTTAAATGGGGCATTTCAGGATTCCTTAAAACAGTTAATATATGTTCCGAAGTTCCATTTCAAAAAAACAAGTAACATGAATCAACTGTGCCTTGGCTCCATGATCTGAAATAATGATCTCAGGTAGGAAATCAGTATTTCTATTCAGCCAGTTCAAAAGGTAATTTTTCAGTACGTTATTGTAATGGAAACTTACAGCCTACTTATAATGAAAAATAACTTCAGGGTCTGATAAACTGTGTCCCAGAGTCAGCTCTGCTTCTTATTATCTCTGCAGTCTTAGGGTATTTCAACCCTTTGAGTTTTGGTTTCTTCCATCATTTAAAAAAAAAAAATCAACTGTTTCTAATTTCCAAGGATTTCCTCTCTATCACTTAAAGGTTGGAGCTTTGTGACATTTATTTGTTGGTTTCCTAATTGTAATTTAGAAGTGTAATTTTCTGCATTCTGCAGGGTAAATTCACATTGCGGGTATTATATCCCTATTTCAGGAGGAAGATCTAAGAAGATCTTATCGTTGGATGAACTATTTTCAAATATGTCCTCTTAGGAGCCTGTGGTCTCTGCCTGCTCGGATCCCAGTTAACAAGAAGGCCTGCCCACCAGGTGTTGCTAACTGCTCGTTGTCTTTTTCTTGGGACCAGGCTACAGCCCAGGCCCAGGTAAGAACACATTCTTTTTTTTTTTTTTAGCTTCTTAACTTACCCCATCCTGCCTCCCTCAATCTGTTTCTACTGAGCGCTCCCCCTCATTTCATTCCACTCAAAGCACTGCTTCTTGGGTCCCATCCTAAGCCATATGTCATTAAAACTGATGAAAAAAAGACATATGTTGTTACCTTACGTGTTACAGGAGCAGTGTGCTTCAGTACAAAATGTCACCAGATCTGAATTTGAGTTCTCGTTCTTGCACTCGGTGGGTATCTAATCTTGAGTAGATTTATTAATCTTTGAAATCTCAGTTTATTTATCCTAAAGGAGGTAAAATATGTTTGACTGGGCGTTTGTGAGCACCGTGTGAGGTATATGGGTAGGTACACAAACACACACACACAAACCCCCACCGCTGATTTTGACAACGAAACACTCATTCGTTGAATGTTCTATTTTTTTATGGTATTTTTCTGGATACTTTTCCTGTCTGTGAGACCAGAGAGTCTATCATGGGAGCTGGCTTTGGGAGCATCTCTTAGGATGTGTGGTATAACGGACTAAGTAACGGGCAGTATTAAAATTGAAACTTTTGGAAAAATAATAGTGGACCGTGTAAATCCACTGAATATAAGTCATAAAGCCCCGAAAATGGGATTAGGAAACATTGGATCCAGCAGGCAACTGGGGACACCAATTGGAAAGACAGACCAAAGAGGCTTTTGCCCTGTATTAAGCTGAACTTGCTCTGGGAGGCATCTTAACAGACGTGGGTTCTGGCCAGAGGTTCGTGGACCCTAGGAAGATGGAATCTTCTGATGGTCTGAGGTGAAGAAAGGAATTGCCTGGGGGCAAGCTTTCTCAGCAATTGGGGAGGACAAAAATGACCTGACTCAGTGAGAGGTTATTATAGTACAAAAGAATGCCGAAGATTAATGTCAATAGCAAGTAGAGGTATAGACAGGACTTCAGGAAGATATCAAAGGCAGAGCAACGGTAGTGAAGTACTACTGAAAATGAAAGAATGGGAGAAGCCTTGGTAACCACTGCCATACTAGATCAGTTCCAAGGGAAGGGGCATGTTGGCACCAGCCATGAGCTATATGTGAGCTCATCATCAGTAATTTTTCTAAAGAACCACCAAAGAATGCAAGGTTAATTGGAAAATGTCAGCAGTTCTTAAATTATTTCATCTTCTTTTGTTTTATATGAGCTCTGAAAGCCATAGAAACTTCCTCTAGTGGCCATGATTTTAATGTTTAATGTTCATCTCTAAAAAATCCTAATAGATAACGTTATGGAACCTTAGAATCAAATTCTCTGCCTCTACACCTGGCCTCCACACTCAGCTCTGCTTTTTCAGGACTGCGTGTCTCAGCTGTGTGTGAGAGGCACAAAAGGCACACATGTGAATTACACAATACATTTTTTAATGTATCCTGGGTACTGTGCTATGCGATTGATGTTTACTACCTTACCAAATGCTCACAATGAAACTACTGCATTAGTTTAGATTTGACTCCAAAATTGCAGATGAAGAAATCGTGACTCAAAGTTTTGAGTAATTTCCCCACTATTATAACATTAATAGCCGACTGCATGTCAAATCTAAATCTGTTTCATTCCAAATCCTGGGCAGTGGTGCACCAGGTAGGTAATTTGAGGGTGGGTCATTTTAAAAATCCTGTAATATTCGTCTCCCTACCCAAAGTCAGGTAAGTTGAGGTCTTCTCTATCACCTTTACCTAAAATATAAATAAAGGCAATATTAGAAATTTTGCCACTTTTATGGATCTGTAACATACTATCTAAAGAAAAACATAAGCTTGTTCTGAAAGTATGTCTTACGGAGAGGTTCACCAGTGTCCCCTCTTGTCACTGGGTTATCACCTCTTAAGCTGTACCCATTCAAAAAAACGTGGAAACTTCCATTCAACCATGCTTTTTAGAAAAACCCATCTCGGGTAAATGAGAATTTTATCTGTATTGAAAAACATGAAAATTTATAATTACTGCTTTTGCTGACTCACTTTCATTATTTGGGGATGACATTTCGTTTTTAAGATTTGTATCTGCTCTGCATTTGACATAGTCACAGTATCTTCTAGGCTGACCTCTGGAGTTTTCCTATTTTATACAAAAATGTCAACTCCAGTGTTCTTAAGTGTCATATATTTAAATTTTTGGTCTTTAAAAAAGAACTAGTGAATTTCCAAACTAGGTCAATTTTAGCACTAGTTTGAAATAATTGGTTAAAAAAACAGGAAGTCACAAACCAAATTAGAAGGACGTTTGTGATTTCACTGCTCTAACCTGAGAGGTAGTTGGGTGATTTTAAAATCAAGGATCTATAGTATCAACTGTCTCATGGGGCCCGCAGGTGTACACGAGTGAACAGTATATAGGAATACTATTGTAGAGTCCTAAGTTTGTCTAAGAGAGATAGATATTGTTATTCAACACCATCTGATTTTTACTCTGAAAAATCAGTAATAGCATTGTCCAACTTCACTTATCATGGTAAACCAGAAATTCAGATTTTCCTATGCATTTTGTTTGGTTAATAAATATTTTCACCTAATTTAATAAAGTTTAAAATAAGAGCATGGGCCAAACAAAAACTTCTCTGAGCCAGATTTGGTCTAAATCAGACCAGTTTTTAATTTGTTCTGTTCAACCAGTGTATCTGTGAGTGGGGTCTATGATCATTAGTGCTAATTATCTGCTGCTTCATGATCTCAGTTCAGTCTATTGTGTGACTCTGATTTACCTAGAAGAGGGGCTTAAAATCTTTTCCTAACAGAGATCGCTAACTAGGCAGCCCCTTCAATGTTAAGAAGAAACAAGAAACTTAAGTAATTACCCTATAGGTTTGTGGGGAGTGAGTAATACAGTATGGATCACAGAGACATTTAATTTATGTAAAAAATGCACATTAGTTCCCTGTAATCAACTATTAAAAACAGGGAGAAAGTAATCAAGATAAAAAAGAGATAGAGGGAAAAAAAGAATGGTCTTAGAGAAAATGGTGATGGTAAGAAAGAATGCAAGGAAAAAGAAAAGGTAGATGATCTTAAAGTGAAAGTTGAATATCCTGGTGAAGAGCATTCAGAGAAAACTTTTTGCTGCATGGCCTATCAGAGCCTATTTTTGTGGTCCTGGCAGTGGTTAAGAGTGTGAGCTCAAGAGGCCAACTCCTGACTCCAGCATTACAGCTCTGTGGCCATGGGCAAGTGATTTTAACTCCCTAAATCTCAGTTCCCTTAGGTATACAATTGGGGCAACAGGGTCATCTACATGATGGTGTTTTTTAAGAAGCAAGTCAGTTAATTATTTGTGAACTGCTGAGAACAATGACTTAGGTGTTACAAGCAGTCAACAAATATTATTATTATTATATTTAAAAATGAAGCTATAGTTGTCAGAGAAGGTTTTACGTTGGTCAGTTTCTATGCTTCAGTTGTGTTTCAGTTTTGTTTGAGATTTAATTAAAAACAGTTCCCCTCCCTTATGACTTTCCAAAGATTTCTAAAGATAAGAAAGGATTAAATGGGGGTGCCTAGGTGGCTTATTTGGTTAGGTGTCCGATATCAACTCTGGTAATGATCTCACGGTTCTCGTGAGTTCAAGCCCCATGTCGGGCTCTGTGCTGACAGCTCAGAGCCCGGAGCCTGCTTCAGATTCTGTCTCTGGCTCTCTCTGCCCCTCCTCTGCTCACGCTCTGTCTCTCTCTCTCTTTCTCTCAAAAATAAGATAAATATTTTAAAAAAAGAGGAATTGTGTGTGTGTGTATGTGTTTAAGGTTTTCTGCATGATATCACTCTGAAATCAGAATTTCACTAGTTTGTGGCACTGTGTCACTCTGTTTTGGGCTTGTGCTTTCTGCAGAATTAATTTGTTTATTCAATTTCATAACACAGGAAGCAAAGAACTCTGAGATCAGGTCATTATTTTGCAATGCTTACTTTCTCTATCAGCTTCTAGATTGCGCAGTTCTGTGCAGGCATTCAATTGAGAACAATTAGTTCAGTGGTTAATTACAGGTCTGTCTTACGTATACCATTTTCTTGTGATGTTTACTGATCCTGGCAAAGTTCAGCTCTCTGCTGGATAGCAACAGGATGGAGCCTCTAACTGGCATTTCCAACAGCAATAAATGACTTTTCATGAATTATTTAGGATATTTTTCCCGCAAATTTGTCTGCTTGATAGATTCATTAAATTCTTTAATTATTTAATTTCCCTTTTAAGGAATCTCTGTAAGCTCACTTGAAAAAAAAAAAAACAAAAACTGTTCTTACCTCATACCCAACAAAGTGACTTAAGTTCCCGGTGATACTATATCTTCATTTGGAAACACTTTCATCATTCTTTCAGTTTTCTATTAACTAGAAATGATTTTAAAGACTTTATTTCTAGAGCACAGTTGGGTTAACAACAAAATTGAGAGAAAGCTTACAGGGATTTCCCTTATACCCTCAGATCTGAGAATGGCATACTTTCATTATTTTTTAATGTTTATTTATTATTTATTTTGAGAGACAGAGCATGGTCAGGAGTGGGGAAGGGGCAGAGAAAGGGAATCCCAGACAGGCTCTGCACCTGACACGGAGCTTGGTCCCACTAACTGTGAGATCATGATTTGAGCCAAAATCAAGAGTCAGAGGTTTAACTGACTGAACTACCCAGCACCCCTAGTTTCCCTCATTATTAGCATCCACCACCAGAGTGGTATATTTGTAAAAATTTCTGGACCTATGCTGACATGCCGTAATCACCAAAGCCCATAGTTAACATTATTGTCCCCTCTTGGTGTTGGTGTGTTCTGTGGTTTTGAACAAATATATGTATCCATTATTAAGGTATCAGAGTATTTTCAGTGTCCTAAAAATCCTCTGTACTCCACTAACTCATCTCTCCCCTCAACAACTGGCAACCACTCATCTTTTTATGTTCTCTTACTCTTGCCTTTTCCAGAATGCCATATAGTTTAAATCATAGAGTTGGTAGTC